AGAGCTAAGCTGAGGGCTCAGCTAAGAGCTAAGCTGAGGGCTCAACTAAGAGCTAAGCTAAGAGCTAAGCTAAGGGCCTAGCACAGATGCTAACCACGTCAGCTTCTCCACAAATCGTGAACTGAAGAGTAGATCAATACCAACGTTACGAAGCTTTAAAGTTCAGAGCTGTGAATAATTTAACTGTCGAACTGCTTAGCTTCATAGCCTGTAAACAAGTTAGCATCGCTGCTAACGTTTCTGTCCTCGGCTGTTTTGAGCAGCAGGTGGTTTTTATAAGACGGACGATCTTCTCTGTTCTTCACAAACAGATTTTTCTTAACAATAATCTGATTGGGTGTTAAAGTGATCTATGGCCTTCCCTCTCCGGCGGCCATCTTTACAAACGTCAGGAGGACGGGGCGTGGAACGCCAAAATGACTCGTTTAGCAGACGGCTGAATGTGGCGGTTATTAAAGCTTTCTGCCTGATCTAAAACCTGCTCACTGAGGGCCTCATTGTTTAGACTTTTATTTTCTAATGTAGAATAATTTATGTGCCTTTAAAGTAAAGTACTAAGATGTTTCATATATAAACATTTAATTAATGTAACGACAAAAAAAACTACTATTTAATCTCAGCGCTCCAGTTTGAGATCAGATCGGAGTTAAATAAATAATTTATTCTAAATCTGGAAAAATCAAAATTGAATCTAGAAAACCTAATTGATACGCAGTACTAAATATAAAGCTAATATTTAAAGCAGGGAAGAAAACCTGATTATTTATTATATAATAAACTAAAGATGATGGAGGAACAGCTGTTTATTAGAAAGAATAATAATTTTAATAACTTTATTTTTAAATGATAGAAATGATTCCTCTGCTTATATAATTAAATGTTCCTGTAAAAATGAAGCCTGATGAAAGATCATCCAGGTCTGGATTATTAATCTCAGCTTCAAAGAGTTAAATGAATTTAGTGAGATAATCTTCCATCCATCACCAGAAACGTGATTCTGGACTCAGATGGACTGAAGCCTGTTTTTATTTTTTATTCCTGTTTCTCTTCCATCAGACGTCGCTGATCTTCGACATCAAGCTGAAGGAGCCTGAATGCGCCGTTAACACTCACCAGCCGGTGCTGCCGGCCCGCTCCATCCACCCCTACAGGATCCCTTTATCAGGTAATCCCTGCGGTTCTGCTCGGACCTACGGTCCAGGTTTAATCCCACGCTGCTCTCAGTGCTGCTGTTCCCGCAGGTCCGGCCGCCGTCCCGACTCAGCCTCCGGTTCCGTGTCAGCTGTGTATCCTTTCAGCACAGGTCGGGTTCTGGGTCAGAACTGGAGCCCGGTTATTGACGAACAAACCTGTTTCTCTCTGGTCTCCATGGCAACGTTTCATCTGAGCCTCGCTGATTGAAGATCAGAACATTTCTAAGGTTCCTGAGCGTCTGGAGGAGCTAGAGCTAGATTAGAAGCTTTTCCACGTCTGAATGAGTGAAGCTTCCTGTTGAAACGAATAATCAGCAAAAAAAAAAACAAATTCTACCCCTTTAATATTATTATTATTATTATTATTAT